TTGACTTTTTCAGCAAGTGAGGTATTCGTCTCACCATCATAGTTTGTTGTTAAACGGCCGTCACAGTTTTGCCACGTGAGAACTAGTTTGAACTTTCCACATTTGGCTAGCTTTCAAGCAGCGAAGTTCGGGGACCAGTCCATTCCGAAAACACTCGACATCATGTAGCGTGGGCCAACCACGAACGGCGTGTGCGTTTGCATGTGAGATGAGCTTATAAGACAGGAATCTTTACAAAGCGTTCTTCACAAAACACACCATTCTGTAAATTACGTTGTAATCGAAGAGCGAGCTCACAGAATGGAGCTCATACAAGTTCTCGCACTCTCATCCGCACTTTACGCTATGTCGGAACATGTGCCTTATGGAATATTCCATATATGGAATACACAAACTCTGACGCAATCCAGGTGCAATCGTACATACCTGACACAACTTCTTGTAAGGAGCGCCACTCGGTCCTTCTCTACAGATTGTAATGAAAACCGCTCGGTCCTTTGTAGGATGTTGATACTCTAAGTTATTTATTGTTTGAAGATGTTTAAAAAATAATGGTTATTATATTATATCACTAGTCATATTAATACAGGTATTGACCGGGAGTGATGGTTCGATGCATATGTTTGGGTCTTCTCGCCCCCTCACCATCTATATCATATTTATTACAAATTGAGACAAGTGTTAGTACAAAGTGCAACAGAACAAGCACCCCTCCAGAAAAAAAAATTAATAATAAAGTAATAAATTGATCATCAGATTAAGGGGAAACGATTATAAATTTCTGACAAAAATTTAAAAAAACTAAAGAAATAAAAAGTAAGGCTTTTGATCTTCATCCGGTGATGATACCTTGGTCATAAAAATCGTATAGTTTTTACTTATTCATTACAATCCCTCACTGATATTATTTCAAAACACCTTGATATCTCAGGAATCAATCACTCTATATCAAGATCTTAAAAGATTCTGTAGTTGTTACCGCTAAACTTCTTGTTACTACGTTTTCAGAGCCTGTATCGTGTGTCTGTATTTTTCGAACTACATACCTCGGGTATATGAATTTGAAATGTTCCTTTCCTTGCAAAATGTTGCGCAATTTATCTCGAGCAATTTTTCATTTTTTATGTATACGTTTAGTCCGGTGGATCTATGTTTAGAAGCAGCTTCGTGTCAAAGCAATTTATTTTTCTCCATTGTGAGTTCATTTGTTCTCTTTGTTCATTTATTGTGAATTTTCGCTCTCTTGTAAAGGCGTGTCGAGAAAGGTTGTCGGAAAACAAAAGAAAAATTGTACGCAACTACCCCAAAAGATATGGTAGATAGTTCTAAGGTCGTGGTTTCTCGACCTCGGGATTTCAGGGAAATCTGAGAAAAAAAAAATTATATACGTAAAGCAATACGCCAATTTTCAACTGAGATTCCAATGTAGTCTGGCATTGCACTGGTTTTGGGTCACTTCGCTCTATGATTTGTCCATAAAACCAGGGTCTCTTTCTGCTGACCAATAATATAGATCACTTTGCGACTGTATGTCGTGAAAGAAAACTCAGCAGCCAATCACAGCAAGGAAAAGATCACGAGCAGCCATTGTGAACTTGAGGTAAAAACAAGCAAACTGCCTGAGGCGTAACGCGGGAAAACGCACGTGACCAAGTCGCGTTGCCTCCAGTTATGAATCTGTTTGGTTAATTTAAGAAAGTGGTACGAACTTTCTGGACCAATCACATAGAGAAGTGTATACAAAAAAACAAATTAATCCAAGATTATATTTGACATGCTATTGAAATTTACTTGC